ATCACCCAAGATTATAATACCAACCACTATCCGAGAAACAGAGCACCGAAAGGCCTCGACCATGGACTTTACAAACAGCAAAGATTGCGTTTTTTTTGTATACACGACACAAACAGTTACGTGCTAGCGAAATCAAGAAACCGAGCGCGCATCATAGTCAGTCCGTTTTATCCCCAAATGGGTCTGGAACTACTAAGCACCACGGCCAGGCCAACAGGCAAATCATGTCGACATACACGTCGACCTCAACTTGGGCCAGTTCCGCCTCACACATGATTCTACTCATAATCTTGCGATCGCATCTTCAAGAACCAACTAAGGCTTTAAACCAAGCAACGATCTATAGCAGTGGCAACAATACTTGAGCCTTGTTTAGTGGGCTACCTTCGCCGTACCCACAGCGCGCCCTTACTTAGCCGACCCAGGTCGACAAGCCAAAGTAGTAGCAAGCACATTCACGTCGAAACAACACATGACAGGCCAAAGTCTGGATATCAAGTTCTGCATTCAGGAAACTAGAAAAGTTGGTATACGCTCTGGCGAATCATCAGTCGCGCGAGATCTTCCTCCAAATTTCTCGGAGTCATTCCTTGATGACACGTCGAAGCTGGAACGGGGGGGGGGGGAGGGGGGAGGGGGGGGGGTTTGCACTTTATTTCGAGTTTACTACATTTCACTCTAACAGCATCCGGCGCCCAGCGCACCAATTTCTGGACCGATTTGCGGCATCAGTTTGTCGCCGTCGGTATTCCGCAACAGCTCGTTACACCCACACCACTGACCTCGCACTCGTTTCGCCGTTGTCTTGTGGCAAACACCATGCCAATCAATACGCCTTACCTCATTGTCAGCGCAATTTTGGGCTTAAATCAAGGGTCCGTGAAATCTTGCGTCAGGGCAATAATCTCTACTCTACACGACAGCTTCTCAACGGGGACCTGCCAGAGGCTGGAAGGAAAACAACATGATTGTTGCAATGTTTACAATTGCTATTTAGGCTTGAATCATCATATATTTCTTGGAAGCACATAAAACCCTGTCATTCCAGTCACATATGAACTCCTCTGAACTTTACCACCAGTGAGGATATAAAAGCGAAGAACACAGAGGAGGAAATGACTCAGAAGGATCTGTTCTTCACTTTATTCTCCCCACTGGAGTGAAAGTTCAGAGGAGTCATCATGATTCCTGGAATGACATTAAAAAAAAGCAGAAACTAGTTATAACCAGCATTCTTCCAACAAGTAATGAAAGAAATGTTTGCAGACATGCCTAACGTGCAAGTCTATATAGATGACATAGTCATCTTTTCTAAGACTAAGGTCGAACATGCCGCATTAGTCAGAAGAGTCCTTAAGAGACTCAACAGAAATGCCACTTTGCAATGAGCGAAATACAGCTCTACGACTACCATATATCTGGGGAAGGTATTAAAATCGACCCCG